CCTATGATCAATCCTGTCGATCCGTCCCAAAAAAGATTGGTATAAGACCGGTCCTATGACCGGACCAATGGTCTTTCAGTCTGGATCGGATCGTTCCCATCCCTAATTGTAACAATTACGATCTAAATCAATAAAAAAAAAAAATTTTTTTAAAAAAATTAATTTTAAAACTTTTAGTTTTTTAAAAAATGGCAACATACGAAGAAATAAAACAAGAATTAACAAAAGCAGATGCGAGATTGGACGAGGTGACAAAGAAGTTGGATAAATAGGAAGTCAGAAAGTATAAAGGGGTGAAATTAAACGAGTTGGAAGATGAGTTGATGAAGGGGGAATACAACGAAAAACAGGAGAAAAGGTTGGAAAAACGGATAGACGAGTTGAAAGAGGAGAAAAAAAGGCTGGTGAAGGACATGGATGATTGGAAAGGGCAGGCGGTGAAGTTGCAGAATGCGTTGGTGGCATTTGGTGGAGGGGAAGGTAATGAACAAATTGCGTAAAAAAAATATACAAAAAATTATAAATTTAATTTAATTCTTTTTTAATAATAAAAAATATGTATTTAGGTGCAATCAAACGTAAGGCCATTGAAGTTGATGAAATTGATCAAGTGAATTACTTTAAGCGACTCAAGGATGCATCACCTCCATCTGCTTATGCTAGAAGAGGGGATCGTGGGTGGCCATCTGGGCAATGTGGTAATAATCCTCTTTATCTGAACCACCGCCCAAAAGCTGCCTCTGGAAACCCCATTGCGATTTATCATCCTGTATTTGAAACTTTTGTTCAAGACTGCCAAACAGCTGTCCCCACAGATGAAGTTTATAAATTTGTTTTAGAACTTACAGAGGAAATGTCAGACCCATTTCCTGATGAGGATGCACGAATAAATGCTTTTCACCATTTGCTAGAAACAATTGGCATAAAATTAAACAAAATTGTTATAACAAACTGTACAACAGATGGTTCTGTGTTGACTAAAGATGGAAGTATGTTGGTGATCAATCTTGAAGTGAAACCAGAATTAGGAGAAGGAAATGGTTGTCCGTACATTCAAGACATTACTTATTATGGAAAGAAAGTAGCTGATTATCTTGAAGGAAGAGAAGCATTGCGTTTACCATGTTTTGTTTTGTACTTGGCAGGTAAATATTGGCAATTACCATAATCCTATTCATATAGGTAGATTTCATTGATCCTTTCTTTGTGTTAGGACCCTTCCTTGGGATTGCAGGTGTCATTCATACTAAGAACAAAATTGTGGCAGACCCTTTAGTTGGACCTTTACCATTGATGTTCCTCCAATATGATAGAGAACAAATGACACAAATTGCACGAATGTTTACTGCTCTTAAATCAGCTCACAACACACTTTATAAATATTATGATGAGAATCTTGAAACAGGTCCACAATCACTTTGGCCATACTGTCATTCATTTTATTATCAAACAAAAAAAGTAGAATTTGAGTATATTCAGCAACTAGAAAGTACAAAACTGTTGTTTATTGTAAAAACAAAGCAAAGCAATGATAACATCGACCTTCCTCAAAGATTGCTTGTTAAATTTACAGAAACATATGGGGTATCAGTGCACCAATTTTGTGCTGCTCATGGTTTTGCTCCTAAATTCTTTGGATGCCAGCAATTGTCACAACGATGGAAAATTATAGTAATGGAGTATTTAGATGATTATGTCAATTTGTATAATGTAGTAAGTGCAAAGGTTGATTGGGGAATTGTTACAAAAAAGATTACAGAGATTGTTAAACAGATATATGATGCTGGATATGTCCATGGAGATTTAAGAAAAGTAAATATTCTTTATCGGGAAGGAAAAGATAGATCAGTGAATCTTGCCTTGGTGGATTTTAATTGGGCAGATCAGATTGGAAAAGCTGTGTATCCTCCCTTTTTGAATACCTAAGACATAACCAGACATCCTAAAGCTGGGTTTGGTAAACTTATTGAATTAGAACATGATATGTTTTTTTTAAATACTCTGACATAATATCAAGAACCATTATTTTGATCTTGTTATAATTAGTAGTATATATAATAAATCAATTATATCAATTCACTTTAATTTCTATATTTTTTTCTTTCACTATCTTGCCATTTTCCACATATTGTTATATGCTAAAAGAAACCTTTGTGTATTAGACTTTTAAATATTAAAATGTACATTTTATTCAAAGTTGAAAATTCAAGACCTAATAAGCAAAATATTAGATTTTATAGTATTTCAACAAAGTTATAGACACCATCCAAATTAAAAATCTAAAATCCCAAATGTAGATCTGATCCCTGTACCTGTTCTCCTGTCCAATAATCATCTAGCATGACAAAGGGATTGCTGATCGCTCTTATAAATTCTAGGCATTTGTTGAAAAATTTGGGATTTGGGAATTCTTCAATAGGCTGCCCAAATTTAGTTTTTGCATTTGGGATGCTATAATTTTGGGATTTGGGTGGTATATATACACAAAATGTATTACTTATTACTAATGTATTAATTTTTAGACTTGGCTAATCATTAATAAAATTTATATATAAGGAGGGATAGGTGTATATGAAAAGTGATAATAATACAGTGGCTCACAAAAGTAATGCAACCGCTAAATACAAAACTTTAAATTAATGTAACTTTTTATTTATAA